TTTAAACTTTTCAATCAGAGCCAAGACTTTTATAAAATCAATGCATGTTCCCTCAAATCCATCAGCCTTCTATATAATATGCAATTGCAACGGTTACTTTCTGAGCTGATTTATAGCCCTGGCAATAAAAATTAATACAAACACACCAGGCGAGCATATTAAATGCATTGTCAAATGGTTTAATGTGGATCTGGTTGTACTTCTCCTCCATAACTTAACCACCCGCAAAAAAACGAGAAGGAAAAAAAGTACACACAATAACAATTTTTGTAACCACAACAACACACAACAACAACAAAGATACACAGACTGACCCCCACAAAAAGATGGCAGACACAAGCCCAGAACCAGAACCAGAGTCAGAGTCAGACCCAAAGCAACCCCGACCTGAGGGCGAGCACGGAAAGTTATGAGCCAGAGCTGGCAAAACATATGAAATGTAATACTTTATTTTTTGCACTTATTACACTCACGTGTGTGTGTGTGTGTGAGTGTGTTGGTGTGTGTGAGTGCGCTTAATTTAATTTATAGCAATTCATCAAGGGGCTGCGCCAGAAATGCACAGCCAACGAGGCATGTAACAAGAGGCCATGATATAGGGACAACTGTTTAGGGAGGGCGTGTGCTAAAGGTGACTTAAAGTCGGGAACGAAGTTGATAGTATGGAACCTAGGAAAGCTTACAGAAACTACAACAAATATTTTACAATTTAAGCAATTTTGTAACAGGCCTAGAAAGTGAAAGGCAAGTGAAAACCCTATTATTTCTATGCTCTGCCAGCACCTGGCACGATTTAATTATTATGCATCATATGAAAGCATTACAAATCCTGAAACTGAACAAATATTCCTCACATCTATTATTATTATTTATTTATAAAAATTTAGAAAAAAAAGGAAAAACAAATTTTTAACTTATTTTAAATTTCTTCAATTTTCATCATTTTTGCATTAATATAGTTATATTATATATGTACCACTTTTTCATAGAATTTATGCTATTTTTATTAGGATATGACTTTCAAATGTATGTCCACATTTTACTTTCTTTTACAATTTTCAAATTTGGCCCAGCCACAATAATATTGATCTATATAAAGATCTATTTAAGAAACCTAAAAAATCAAATATGATATACTTAATGATACGATTCGAACCGTTTAGAGCTCTGTAGAAACGATGTTGGAGGGGGAAATTATATGCCGTATTACAGAGGAAAATGTTTGATTGAATGATCAAGTACACCCAAAAAATGGAATGTCTCATAAATATCTTTAAAAATATAATACATTTCGAATATATTATATAGTGTTTCAGAAGTGAAATTAAAGACTAATAGCAAAGAGATATACGCACGCGAGGAGAGCATATTGGTTCCAATGAGTAGAGACGTCTCAATAGGTGCTCCGGAGTTGGCTCGCGTTGTGGAAAGTCGCGACTGTCGAGTCGGAAAGCTGCAGGTTGTGGCCATAAACAGTTAGTTCGAGAAAATTGCCAATTGCTAAACGTTGTCTGGTTTCATTTTTGTTGTTGTTGTTTTTGTTGCTGCCACAAATTGAGATTTATTTGTTGTGTTTGCCCAGTTTGTTTGTTGTCTGTGCTGAGCTGTGTTTTATGGCCAAGTTAAGCGCTATTGGCAATTGTATGCGGACAATTGGCCGTGGCCACTCTTGTTATCTTGTTGTTGTAATTAAGCAATTATTGTTGTTCTTGCTGCCGCATTACAACATTACAACATTACAACGTTACAAATTTCCAAAGCAATCTTGGACTCAGTGTCAAATGCCAATAATTCAAGTGTTAAAACAAGAACAAACAGGAGCCAGCGCATTATGCAAATCTGCCACCCTCGACAAGGGCAACAAATCGCACGACTCGCAGCATTTGAATGCCTCTAATGCAAAAGCAAACAACGACTGCGGGCAAGGGGGTGGCAAGTGCCACCTGCTGCACATAAATCAATGGAAAATGTTCTATAACAAAGTTTACACATTGCATTAAATACTCGCCAACTTTGGCAACTGGAAAGTGCGTCCGGAGTGGTTGACCACTTGGACGGACGACACTCGCAATGTTGTCCCCCCTGCCCACTTTTTCGGATGTGTACCATCTGTGCACGTGGCATTTAATCAGTGCCACTCATTGCGGGGGGCCGCCTTCAACTGACTTAGCCAAAATGCAACTCATGCGGTTGGCATCCTCCTCCCCTCCAAACTTCCTAACCCAACACCCTGGCTCCATATTCAAGCCAAACTCATTTGCCATGTTTTTAGGGGGGCTGACTTGCATTTGTTTGCGTTAGGCAACAGCTTTAGAGCGCACCCACCGCCTTATTAGCTGATGATGTTGATAATAACGATGATGATCATGATGTTGGGGGGCAGCCGATATGGTAACACTTCCCACTTCCCATTCTGTTCGGGCTGAGGTGCTACTTTTGTTGTGTCAACGTTTTGATAAGCGTTAATTTATTGGATTTATTGGCTCTTAATGAAACGGGGAAACCGAATGAGAAGGATTTGGGTTTAAATGTGGAATTTGTAGCATATAGAAATATAACTATATATAAATACAAATCCCAAGTCGGGTGAAGGGACTGAGAGGATATGACAGCATTTTATTTGATAAAATAGGCAAATCAGTAAAAATTCCTTGGATTGTTTTTATATTCTTTATTATTGGTTTTAGTAATATAAGTATCCAGCAAATTTCTGCTGGATTTGAACTGGCGACCTCACTTTTGCTGGTCAAGCGCTCATTCACCTAAGCAACGCAACACAAGGCTCAGTCATATGGTTACACTGTTGTTTATGTTTTTCTTATAGTTTTCTCCTACTTGGAGGTCGAACATCCAAAAACCTCCATAATTCTTACTTTCGACCGAGATCTTAAAGTTTGGGCTATGCGTAGATCATCAATCAGTCCGGACAAACAACTTTCTATATAGAAACAAGTACAACATCATAAGGTTAAAAGATATATGGGACTTTAAAGTCCCAAAGAATGGAAACCATCAAAATATTAGACACCTTCTTTAAAGTCACCCCATAAGAAGCACTTGCAAAACTATCAACTAATGACAAAAAAGTCCCCGCTTTAAAAATACTAAATTAATAAAAGCCTTTATTTTGATTAGATATTCTTTGAAAGCTCTCAAAGATGAGCTAGATGTATTTAACCAATTCAAGCATTTCATAAATGCATAATAAGGCCTGCTTAATCAAAAATGCAATTAAAATGGCTTCATTTACTTTAATTAGTTTTATTTTTTTTAATTCTTCCTTGGTATTGCTTACATTGCCTTTCACACCTACAAATTGGCGCATCAAGCTGCCACTCTCAAGCTCAATTTCTCTAATAACTTTGCGTGAGTTTTGAGAAAGCTAAGTGAGCGTAAAATATGAGCATAAAAATGCGCATTTTTTGTTGTAGCTGACTGAAGAGGAGGTGAATCTTAATGCTGGCTACATGACTTGGCACAAAAATTGGCCAATTATGGTAGGTGGAAGTAATGAAGACTTTGGCAACAGGGCAGCATATGGCGAGCCGCAGGATTGATAAATAAATCTAAATTTAAGGCAAGCTATCAAGAGTTCTAAAATATCTTCAAAATAAATGCAGCGAGCAGCTGTAGACGATGTTGCTTATAAGAGAAGCACATCGATAACTAAGCCGCCTTTAAATATGCGCCAAAATGTTTAATTTACGACAAATAAATGTTAAACGGCTCAAAATTGAGAGATTTTAGAGTTACGATATTGTCGCACATAAACTGTGTCATGTGTGTGCGGGGCAAGTGTGGGAGAAGCGGGGAGTGGGGGTGTGTTAGCCACCAATGGGGTGTAAAATAACGAGCGAAAATTTACCAACACACGCACACACAAAAGACTTTGCAACTGATATGGGTTACCCTCCGGGCTTGAGGGTGGGTTCACTGATGATAAAAACAGCAAAGGATAAACAGAGAAACCGTTTATAACAAATTGAGCCTGATGAGTGCTAAGCGTCTGGGACACACACACACATACGCACACACACACGCTTATTATGTAACCAACTCGACAGCAACATAAGCGAGGACATGTGTGACAAGTACCCAAACCCACCCACATCAAAATGTTGCCAAAAATGAATTTACATACAAATTTGTCTGCAATGCGCCGGAAAGTTGCGTTTGGAAAAGTGTGGGAAATTGAGTGTTATTTTAAGTCGCTGCGAAGACCTTGGGAGGCGGGGAACACCAAAAGTCAGTGCATAACTAAACCCTGCAAAAAATATCTTATATTATATTGCAAAACTGTTGTTTATAATAAAACTGTACAATCAACTTTTCTAAAGGCGGATTAGTTATACTTGATACCCATCAAAAAAATACTAAGAACGGGCTATTATTGTTGTGCATTTTAAAGAAGAGATCTAAGTTTATATTGTAGTGGATCAGATCGCCTCGAGCAAGGTCCTTATGAGCTGGGTACTTAGGTCTAGAGAGAATGTCCTTTGAATGTATTTTTTAGTTCGAATTCATAATCAACAACGGATATTCCATAAGAGACAACAAATTTAATACACAGGCTCATATAACGCATTTTTGAAACACTTCTAAATGAGAAATTGGAATATTCGAGATGTATGTATAACTATGACTAGCATCTTTATGATCTTTAAAGTCCATTACAAGAGAATCCATGAAACAACAGCTAGTTAAGAACCTAACTCTCTTTTACCTACAGATTGTTGCCTCCTAATATGATAGGTAATAATATTAATTATTATTGGAATAGACCCACTGAAAAAAAAGTCCAACCCCCAATGAATTCGGATCACAAAGTAATTTGCAATACCATTGTCAGTTAAATATGCGATTGAGGCTAAATATATTCATAAATTTATAAAGATTTTCTAAAATAAAGAAGATTTCTGCCATTTTGTAATACCTTCTACAATTGTGAAGACCCAAGATTTACCTGAAGTTGCTCAGCATATTTGGTTTGCCTCTTCCAGTTACCTGACGCCAAAGATCTACACAACATGTCACTAGTCGGCAACTATAGCACCCAATTCCTGCACAACTTTCATCCGCATCTGCTGCAGACGCTCAACCATGGAATGCTGGCGGCGAATGGAGCAGCTGCCGCTGCCGCCGCAGCCGGAGCTCCTGGCAGCTATTTTGCGAGCGACCGCTCGCCGCTGGGGAAGCCGTCGGTGCTGTCGAACTTCTCGCTGCCGTCGGCCTTCTCGCCACCCAAATATATTGGCATATCCCTGGATCAGGTGGGTAAACGAGCGAAGGACTCCTTCAGCTCCTTTGACATGGGCTGGGGGCGGCGTCGCTAATCGTGTGTAGATTGGCAGTTGTCATAAGTGGAATTGAATTTTTGCAGAATCTATTCAATGGCAGCGAATCATTTCGCACGGATTCGGCCAGTCCCACGTGCACATCACACGAATCCATGGAGGGATCACAGGATTACGATGCCGTTGAAAAGGGTGAAAGTCCGCGCAGCAATAATTCTCAGGATCCCAGGGATTTAAGACGTAAGTTGGGTTACCTCCTCCTCCTTCTACTGCTGCTGTTGATTTTTGCCAATTTGCATGTTGCCAAAATGTTTGGAGATAACACAAAAGTGGGGCGGGCCACGTTTTGCCTTTTTTTGATCAAAATCTAGCCATATTTGTTTCAATTTTACTTCTCTGAGCAATTTTAACGCTTCACTGGGTTAACTTTGACGTGCAGAGCAGATGAGACGGACAGACAAGCGACAGACAGGCCGCACTCCAGCTATTTTACTTTTTACTTTTTATTTTATTAGTTTTTCCCCGATTTCGGGCACAGACATTTAAATCAATTTTTGGCTAACGCTTACCTGAGGGTTGCTGCCCTTTAAAGCTGCTCGCCATTTGCCCAAAACTGGGCCAAACAAATTGCCTACAAATGCGTTGCTAATTGGTGTCGCCGGAGCCGCTCGCCTTAAGCGCCTTACACCCAAAAACCCGGCAGCATATGAACATGATAAATATGAATGCAAATCGCCGGAATCGCAGTGGGTTCAGGGGCAGGAGCAGGGGGTTGTGTCAACAAATGCTTTATCGAAGCAGGGGCGCAGCTGCTGGCGGGGTGCGCTAATCAGATATATCCATATGCATTGCAGATACTTCTATTTGATTGATGCTCAGTTAAAGTACGAGTAAAAAACTTTTCAGCGTTTTACAACTTTACAACTTTGATTAAAAGGCGAAAAACTAACTTGAACAAGTTTTTGCAAGTTAAAAAAGCTAATAAAAGAGTTTTTGAAAGTAAACAAATATTTAAAATGATCGCCAAATTCGTTTTTCACATAATTAAAAAAATAAAGATTCAAAGAAGAACTTTAAGGATATTGAAAATATCGTATATAATAAAAAGAACAAAACAATAATTTCATGAATTATTATATTTCTATAAATAATCTCTGATCTTATCTACAAAAATATTTGCATATGGTTTTTCTTTCGCCTTGCCTTAATTACGCTCAACAGCTTTTCATAGCCTTATCTAGATTTTTAATCAAATATCCAAGCTTTTACAAAATCTTTTCTGTTTTTCGTTCCTTTTGAGAAAATATAAATGAAATCCTCTCATACATACACTTCTTTCTATCATAACAACTTACTACGAATAAAAACTTTTGAATTTTAGAAAACTTAAAAACTAGTAAAACTAGCTTGCAAAAGTTTTGCTTTATCAAAAAATTGGTATTCAACTGAAGTTTTAAACAAAACTTAGGAAAGAGCTTATTTTATATATATAGAATATATAGAATTTCCAACATTTATATATAGGTCGCCTATTTCATGGCTTATTACTTATATTTTTAAATTATAAAAAGGAACATAAAATAATTCAAAAGAACTGGTCATGAATGAATTAAAATTATTAAAAGTTTAGAAATATCTTGAGAAGGTTTTTTCCACTGTTTTATCCATGAAAAATACTCCAATTATACTCTAACGAAATCCCCTTTAAACAACGCCCCTGACGCATCAACTCTTCTGTTTGATTTTCATATTTACATATCTACTTAAGCTGGCAAACCAGTTGTCTGCACACACTACCCTTCCCATGCCCCCGCTCATAATTGTGTGTTTAACTTTTGGCTTATAGCGGAAACTGACTAAACTGAGCCCATAAATTAATTTAAATAAATAATACACTTTTAATTAGCTGCCTCCATCGATAATCCAAAGCGAACTATAGATAAATACACGAGTTATCCTGTCCAAACACGCGCCGGCTGCCATTGAGCGCCAAAAGTCGAGGATGCACTCGGCTTGAGTATTTATATAGAAGGGTTACAAGGGTGAGCATTAAGTGTTTTAAATGTCGCAATGGCTTATTGAAGCCGTTACCCCGTTTCCCAACTTCCCACCTTCCCCAGCGCCAGGACCCACTTTTTGTGCCTGCCACTTGACTACAAAGTCAAACCGCAGCCAGGACGCATCCTTTGCGGCATGAGGCGGCTAATTACTCGGGCTGCGACTTTGTTGCAACTCTTCTGCTACAGCTGCGTGGCACTTGAGCCAATTATAAGGCATCTAAAGCTACCCCTAACTACCCTTGTACGAGGACAAAAACTCGCTTATGCTTGCTCATTTATTGTTCATCTTTGGTTGTTTTTTTTTTTGCGTTGGCTTCCTTCAAAGGATGCGCAAGTGTTGCGAATCGCTTTGATTGCATTGTTTGGTATTGTTATTGTGAGCATTACTTATTATTATTGTTCAGATGATGTATTATATCCATTGCACACTTGGAATTTTCATATTAATTTCTGTAATATTAATGGCACTCACACAAATAGCACACACACACACACACACACAAACCATAAAAGTCATATTTCATGCTATATACGATATTTGGAATGCCTCCCCTTTGGCCGAATAAAGGCAACCAGCTATTGGCACGTGACTCTTAGGAATTCTGATTATTTATTTAAAAATGTTAGACATTAATATGATTTTTTAACTGTTCGCTTATCATATACTCATTCTCTTACTATGCTTAACATAAAAAGGCTTAATAGTTAGCTGAATTTGTGAAAATCACGTAGAAAAGCGATATTTAGGATCTTATTTTGAGATATGTTCAAAGCTTTACAAGAGCAAATATTGAGTTTGGATAATCTACCTGCTGGATTTAAAAAGTCGTGTACATATTTTGAATGAAACTTTTTATACTTCATTTGATTCAATTCAAACTGATACGAAAAATCCACCACCATGTGTGGAAAATGGGTGACAACTGACCAAATTGTAATTTTTGACTAAACAGGACTCCATAAACCAGTGTTTAGCTTTTTAATTTCTGCTTGTTATTTTCTCTTTGCATAATTTTAACAAATATGATATTTAAATAACATTTTAATTTATGTGCGACGCGCGTAGACAACCTCAAATAGCCAGGCTCATCCTTTGACCAATTTGTGGGCCCGTATGTTGACTGTTTTTGTTACTGTTATCCGCGGTTAACCATTCGGCATTCAGCATATTATGTTGCCATGCACATGCGAGTATTTTAGACCAAAACATTTACCAGGCAGCAGCAGCAACAACAATATTGAATGTTTGCTCGTATTTGTTGTAATAATATTTTAATTGCTGCCACAGTCACGTGCAGAACTTTCGACTGGGTCCGGTTCCGACAAACAGTTTGTATTTATTGTGGTTTGTTGTGCACATTTTTTTCCCGTGTACGTGCATCTGACAGCTGAGCAGCTCAACAGTTCCACAGCTCAGAAGGACATAAAGGACATGCCCCCTTCCCTGCACCCGGCACCCATAACAGAAAAAAATAACGAGCGCCAATTAATTTGGGCTAAGTACGTGTTAAAAATGTGTAGCATGCAATTAGAAAATCGAGGGAAAATTTATGGGCCAACCCAAATTCAGGGCTGCGGGCGGATTGGGGGCGTGCTGCCTGCGTGGAATCCCGAAATTGAAATCAATGCGCGGGGCCTGGTGGAATTTGAATTTTTATTGCCCGGCATTGCGGCGCTTTGATTGATGAATGCGGCATGCCTAATTTCAGATCTGCACAATGTGAGCAAAGCGCATACGGTGGCCTCATCCTCGACAGCATCCAGCAGCTCCTCGTCCTCCTGCTCGACCAGCTCGGCCGCTGCAGCGGCCATTAGCTCGGCGGCAGTCGCCGCAGCGACCAGCAGCGCTGTCGTCTCCATGGCCAACCATCTGGCGGCGCATCAGTCGTCGCCGGGCCACCATCATTCGCATCACCATGGCCATCATGTGGGTGGTGGGCCGCCGCCCACGCATCACCATATGGCGCATGCACACCCGCATCCGCTGTCCCATCATGCGGCCCATCATGCGGCGCTGGCCAGTCTGGCCGGACTGCGTGCGGTGCCGGGTGGTCTGAGCCTCGTCAGCGGCTTGCAGGCAGCGGCGGCTGGTGGCGCCATACCCGATCTCTGTCCCGTCTGTGGACTTAAGCTGAGTCCCGAGGAGTGGCACACGCATTTCCTCACCGAGCTGGATCGTCTGTACAAGCTGAGCGCCGGATTCGAGCGTGCCAATCTGCAGGCAACCTACATGTTTGCACCGCCATGTCCAGCCCAGGAGAACGCCATTCGCACCAGCCACAATCGTTGGGAGGTGAGTTGACTGAATGCGAATGTTTCCCTTTCCGGCTTTGACTGAGGAAACTTCCTCTCAGACCTTTCAGCGCATTCGCAACAATCGCCAGAACCGGCTCAGGCTGAAGGTTCGCAAACGCAAATATGGCGAAATGTATATGATGGAGAGTCTCTACTGTAGCAGCTGTCCCATATGTAAGCGCAAATATGCGCTGGAAACGGGAAAATTGCCGCCAGAGGTGGGTCAATTCGCTTTGAAGTGTCTTCAGCTAACCCCAACTGCCATCTCCATGCAGGAGGACCCCAAGATGCAGGATGAAATCGAAACGGTCGATGTGGAAAGCTGCAACGATGATGTGCCGGACTCTGGCTCGGAGCTGAACACCGCAACGGGCGGATCGGGTGCAGTCCCACCCAATATGCCGCCCTCCAGCATGCACAACACGAACGCACAGCCGGGCAAATTGGATGGCATACTGTATCGCACGGCCTGTGTGATTAACCAGAAGGATGCACATGCAGATGAGCAGGACGTGAGCACCAATGTGTCGGCGGCGAGCAGCAGCAGCGTCAGCTGGTCGGGCGAAACAACAACGCCCAGCACCCAGGCGCACATCAGCGGTGAGTTTGAAGCCAATCAGCGTGCCGAGCTGCCCGGGGCTAATTCGATTTGAATCCCTGCCGTACAGTGAAAAACGTCAGCGAGCTGTCATCTACCACGCATCACTACTACAACGCGGACTCCTGCGGCGTGGGCGTGGCCGAGCATGGCAACAACAACAACAACAACAACAGCAGCAGCAGCAAGGAGCTAATGATGGACACGGCAACGTGTCAAAACGATAGCGACGAGGATGTCATTGTGGATGACGATGAAACAGTGAAAATGACGACCAAGTCGCACAGCTTTAAGCGACGGCTGGAGGAGAATGTGGGCAGCAGCAGGTAGGCAAAACAGCTAATTAGATTCCAATCAGGAAACAACATGCAACTTGCGCTTTACAGAAGCCTGGAGAATATCTCACCCAATGAGGAGCGTCCGCGTTCCGAGCCACAGGTCAGCAGCACCGAACCTGGACCCATGGATATCTCGCACAACAACAACAACAACAACAACAATGCGACAACTGCAACCAAATATGGCGAGCCCATGGAGAGCAGCCTGTCGCAGCTATCGTCTATGGGCGTGCCGGGATTAACGCAATTGGACACAAAGGTGGGAATTAGTTCGGATTTAAAACCGGACGATGAAAACAAATGTTTCATTTGTAAGGTAATTTCTCAGTTTGCTTCAGTTTTCTTTCGTGCTTATGCTCTGTCTCGCTCTCGCTCCGACTCTTTCCGTCTCTCTCCCACTCTCTGTTGCCCTCTGTCTCTCTGTGTCTTCTTCTTTGCACCATTTTGCATGCCCACTCTCTCACACACACACACACACACACACACACACACACGCACTCTACCAGCCTAATCAACGCTCTAAGCTATGCTCTCCTTTGTGTATCTACTCTCTCAAGACAGGCATAAAGGATCTCAACACGGATGCGTTTCTGCGCGGTCGCAATTTCTATTTCCATCAAAGCTGCGCCAATGTCATGAGCAGCTACAGGCTCAACAAGGAGCTGCTCAGCCAGGCGCAGGCTCAGCGGGAGGCGAACGCGAATACGGCAACGCCGCGCAGCCTCTCGCCATCGCCCGCTCAGTCGCCGCAGCAGAGCGCTGCCACCCCGGCCATGGAGTAGACGGCGAAACGAGCAATCAAAGCGTGAATTTATTACAGTTAATTAATTCAAAATATTGTGGTAGCTAATGAAACAAGTTAAGCAAAACGTCATGTTAAATTGAGCATGACAAGCGATCGCCCAAAAGCGGGCTACAGTTTTTCTCTTCCCTTCTGCGGCGTCGCCTGAAAGCGAGCAACATTTTTTTGAATAGTATTTATTTATGTTTTCGCTGTGTAAATTTGCGTATCTCAATTGTTTTCATAATCGAAATTAACAAATTAATTTCCATCTATCGAAGTTTAGTGCAATTTTTGCGTTGCCTTTTAGCTGTTTTGTGAGCAGCATAATTATTATTTTCTTTGTTTTAAATATTCAAAATTCTTGAATGTGCTATAATTGTTAAATAAAAATGAAATTAGTTATCAAAACTAAGCCAATTAGTTGTACATTTTAAGCGTAAAATATTTATGAAAAATCAAATAAATATATTAAATACTAACAAATTAAATTCATTTTTTCATCATAAATGATATCTAAAAATTTGTAAAAATATGGATAACACTTGTTGATAAATCCCATCTAGAAATCTAATATGACCATTTTTTAAGTTGCCCTTTCAATTATTTGTCACGAAAGGTTTAATCTAAAAACATATTTTTGTTTACCAGAAATTTAGCACCCATTTTAAAATTATTATCAGCTAGAAACGTGCCTTAATGTTTCTGAAAATATATGTATGTATATGCTTGTCTTAACAAAAATACTACACAGTTTTGTGTATTATTTATTGTTATGGTTAATTGATTTAACTGAATATATGCCATATAATTGAATACATGCCATATAAACACATAAGTTTGGGATCCAAATGCACTCTGCTGGCCAAAGCTTTCCTAGAACAATATTCCTAACCCTGAACTTTGAACAGCGCCTCGAATTGCGATTTAAAGCTCTAACAATTTCCATGACAGCACCACGCCCACACATCTGCAGATTTCAATTGAAACAAAAACAGAGAAACCAATATCAAGATTGCTCTAGTCGAGTGAGCCCGACTAAAAGATACCCTGTTTCCAGCGCCGCATTGCTGTAACATATAAGAAGAAATTGACTTAAATATTGATTAAAAAAAAAGCGCCTAAGAGCATAATTTTCAAATTTTGGAGACTAGATCAGTCAATGGACACGTTTGTTAAGACGAACAGACAGGCGCATTTGGCTCCTGCCCTGTTACATACATGCATTATGCCCTTCTTAACCGTTTGATGGTTATAGGGTACTAAAATAAAAACAAAAAGCTTTTGGCACAAGCTTCCAGCTTAATTGAGCAATGGAAAATTTCTGCTGATTGCTGTAGAACAAAAAACACAATAACAATAACAGCACAAGCAGCAGCAGCAGCAACAACAACAACAAGAGCACCAAAGCATCCATTGAGCTATTTATACACGTACTTAAATATATGTACATACATATGCACATATACATACATACATACTATATGTGTATATATTGTAATATGTTGTGCGGCCGGAAAGCTAAGCAGATAAGACAAGTACACGGTAATTCGGTTAAGCTGCAAGTCAAGACAAGCCACGCTATCTTTTGCTCTCCCCCCCCCTCCCCCTCCCTTCCTCTCACTCTCTCTCTCTTTTGTGCACTCCCTAAATCTACGCAGGGGGGCTACACTAAAAGCTTATCAAGAATCGCGTGACTTGCCAGAAGAGAAAAAGGTATAAAAAGCAAGTTGCCGCCGCGAGCGAACTTTCAGTAAGCCGCTGGCAGCGATCAAGTGCGAAGGTGTCAGATCCGCTAGATTTATATTATTTTGCCATACAACTATGTTTTCCAAACTGAGCACACGCGGCATTGCCAGCCGCCTGGCTAGCGTGGCGCAGAGAACCCAGCCGAAAGAGTCGGCCGCCGTTGGCACGGAGAACAGCCGCTCGGAGGCGGTGTTTGCACGTGAGCAGAAATACGGCGCACACAACTATCATCCGCTGCCCGTGGCGCTCAGCCGAGGCGAGGGCGTGCACGTGTGGGACGTGGAGGGCAAACGCTACTTTGACTATCTCAGCGCCTATTCGGCGGTCAATCAGGGCCACTGTCATCCCAAGATTATCAAGGCGCTGACGGAGCAGTCACAGAAACTAGCGCTGACGTCACGGTAAGTGAAAAACACAGAAACCAAAATTCTTTCTGTCAGACGTGCCCTCTTTAAAGCTTATCTGAACAATTTGGCACAATTCAATGGAGCTTTATGAGCTTTATTTTTAAATATTTCATTGAACTTGTCTTCATTGTTGTTTTTATTGTTGCTGTGCGCAAATTGGCCATAGTACAGACCGTAAACAGTTTCAAGTGGATTTCGTTAATTATCAGTGACAAAAAGTGCCGTTATCATTGATAGCGGCTAAGTTGTTATCAACTCAGTAAAAAAGCCATATAATGGAAAATTTGTGTTGCTAACTCACTTTTATTCAATCATCGAAGTATATGCATCTAGAAGATTTTGAATAGGATACCACCTTGATATCGGTTTCACATATTCTTATATTATTTATTTGATTTTCTTGTTTACTTATTTATATTCTTAACGCATATCATTTGTGGCTACACAATTTTTCTAAAGCGTCATTTGACCAAAAAAAAAATGGCTGACTTTAGTCTACCGAACATTTAATACTCTTGCATCCTGTTTTTACATGCTGGATTATACTTTTTTAAACATATTTATACGACTTAATGGAATCGAAAAAGTACAAGTATAATCAGACTTATTGCACAGCTACAAATTTTCAAGGCAAGTTCAATGTGTCTAAGATTAAGATTAATGAAGCTTTATAAAAATGCAAAATGATGACTTGACATACATAAAGTAATCCATGCTAATCACGAGTCTCGAAGTGAAGTCTAAATATAGAAAAGTTATCACTAAATAGAACAAATCTAAAAACAGTTTTTAGATGGATTTAAGCTTCCTGATTGAACTGGATGATGAAATTTTTGCAAAAATAAAAAACCTTTTGATAAGCTATGCTGAAAAGAAAAACATATTCATTGAAAAACCTAATTCACGGGAGTAGAAAACATATAAAAAAAGAAATTATTCTGTGATATGCCCTATAAACAATCAAAAGTTCACCCTCATATCAAATTTAAGCTTATTGTTATCATTTAAAAATACATATATATACATTTATGCGGATGTAGATTAAGATAAAAATAAATAAGCAACATAATGTCATTAATCCCGTGATTGTCTTTATAAACATCGCAAAATGTAAGCTGCCAAATAAATCCGAATTTCTTTACATATTATACCACTTGTTATGAACAGGTGCAAAAAAAACACTTAAAGCATAAGAACAACAAGTGATTAATAATTTGATTGCTCTTTATGACTTAAATAATGCCTTAACTTTATGAACCATGCAGGCCTGACAACCAAGCCCGAGCAAAGAAAACCAATTCTAACCGGCTAAAAATATCAAATCACTCACCATAAATTTATTGAAGTGCAAGCACTTTGATAATGTTTAACATGATTATTATAGAACTCAATCGTAGTGGGGAAAAATTAATTGAAGGTCAATGCGGCTAAATCTTAAGAGGTTATCAACATAGCAAAATATTATAATGCATTTGTGGTAGTCTCTTATCTAAGAGATGTTCCTTATAAGTGTTCAAAATAGCGTTCTAAAAATATGCAAGTGCTTATAAATTCATTAATATCTATATATCTGATTAGATACAGATACAAAAACAGGTACAGGTACAGATACTGATACTGATACAGACACAGATACAGATACAGATACAGATACAGATACAGATACAGATACAGATACAGATACAGATACAGATACAGATACAGATACAGATACAGATACAGATACAGATACAGATACAGATACAGATACAGATACAGATACAGATACAGATACAGATACAGATACAGATACAGATACAGATACAGATACAGATACAGATACAGATACAGATACAGATACAGATACAGATACAGATACAGATACAGATACAGATACAGATACAGATACAGATACAGATACAGATACAGATACAGATACAGATACAGATACAGATACAGATACAGATACAGATACAGATACAGATACAGATACAGATACAGATACAGATACAGATACAGATACAGATACAGATACAGATACAGATACAGATACAGATACAGATACAGATACAGATACAGATACAGATACAGATACAGATACAGATACAGATACAGATACAGATAAAGATACAGATACAGATACAGATACAGATACAGATACAGATCAGATACAGATACAGATACAGATACAGATACAGATACAGATACAGATACAGATACAGATACAGATACAGATACGATACAGATACAGATACAGATACAGATACAGATACAGATACAGATACAGATACAGATACAGATACAGATACAGATACAGATACAGATACAGATACAGATACAGATACAGATACAGATACAGTACAGATACAATACAGTAGATACAGATACAGATACAGATACAGATACGATCAGATACAGATACAGATACAGATACAGATACAGATACAGATACAGATACAGATACAGATACAGATATCAATACAGATACAGATACAGATACAGATACAGATACAGATACAGATACAGATACAGATACAGATACAGATACAGATACAGATACAGATACAGATACAGATACAGATACAGATACAGATATAGATATAGATATAGATATAGATATAGATATAGATATAGATATAGATATAGATATAGATATAGATATAGATACAGATACAGATACAGATACAGATACAGATACAGTTGTAGTGTATCTGTATCTATAAATGTATCTAAATTAAGGACTCGTCGTCCATAATCAGGTTAAGCTCAGCCCATTTTTCATTTAATCTTATACTCTGCATCCCCTTTGCCGCATTTAGCGCATTTTACTCGGACGTCCTGGGTGAATACGAGGAATTTATTACAAAATTCTTTGGCTATGACAAAGTACTGCCCATGAATACCGGCGTGGAGGGCTGTGAGACGGCGTGCAAGTTGGCACGCAAGTGGGGATACGTGGAGAAGCAGATACCCGAGAATAAGGCGAAGATCATCTTTGCACGCAACAACTTCTGGGGCCGCACGCTTGCCGCCATCTCCGCCTCGAATGACCCGAGCAGCTATGCTGGCTTTGGACCGTATATGCCAGGATTTGAGCTAATCGACTACAATAATGTGACTGCTCTGGAGCAGGCTCTGCAGGATCCCACTGTGTGCGCCTTTATGGTGGAGCCCATTCAGGGAGAAGCGGGCGTAGTTGTTCCAGACGAGGGCTATCTGCGCAAGGTGCGCGAGCTGTGCACCAAGCACAATGTGCTCTGGATAGGGGACGAGGTGCAGACGGGTCTGGCGCGCACTGGACGCATGCTGGCTGCAGACTACGAGGAAGTGCGACCCGATATACTAATTTTGGGCAAAGCGCTCTCGGGCGGCGTGTATCCCGTTTCGGCCGCGCTCGCCAATGATGAAGTAATGCTCTGCATTAAGCCAGGTGAGCACGGCTCCACTTATGGTGGCAACCCGCTGGGCTGCCGTGTGGCCATCGCAGCATTAGAGGTGCTCCAGGAGGAGAAACTGGCAGAAAATGCCTTCAAGATGGGTCAACTACTGCGCACCGAACTCTCCAAGCTACCCAAGGATGTCGTCACGGTAGTCAGGGGCAAGGGTCTGCTAAATGCCATTGTGATTAATCCCAGTAAGTTATATCTGGCTTTAGTTTCGTACTCCCCCAACTAACTTTCCGCTTCGCCTTGATCTTTAATCTTTCCAAGAATATGATGCCTGGGATGTTTGCCTAAAGCTCAGGGACAACGGCTTGCTGGCCAAGCCCACACATGGCGACATCATACGCTTTGCCCCGCCTCTGGTGATCAGTGAGGCGCAAATGCTGGAGAGCATTGACATCATCAAGAAGACGATTTTATCCATGTAGAAGTTTAATCAAATAGCATTTAATTACTCACATACTATATATATAGCATTTAACAAGTTTATATACTTACAATTATGTCTGAAAAGTCTGAAAATACAATATGTCTCATGTGCAAATCTTAAATAGCTATTAAAGTATCTCCGTTTTTGATATGTTAGAATATTTTAATACTGACACCCATCCATTTCTATATATTTAACTGTTTGTCCTGACTGATCAACTCATAGTGCGTAACCGTACGAGCTAGGAAGCTGAACTTTTTATGGTAAGTGCACGTAAAGATAAAGATTTATGATAATTCCACCAGCTAAAGTGGAATATTGATGGAAAATTGACAAAATACCAGCTATTAATTTTTTTTAAACAAACGCCACCTTATAAATAAATAGTTCTTCCACTGTAATTAAAATAACCAATTAAGAGGCGCTCTATGCGATTCTCATGAATTCAAAATAGTCTTACATTCATTCTTGCTATGGTTATTAGCTAAGTTTACGCCCACTTTAATTTGCGCTCTAGTAATTTATCTCCTCTCTTAAACATTTTATTTATTTTGCTTGTCCTTAATCTTTTTCTAACCCGATTTCTTCCTTTTTCGTTCTTCAGGTGATTTGTTTTATATATCTTATAAAAGTCTGTTTCCCCCTGCTCATATATGGTAATAACAAAATTAGTTCGAGGGCATGTAAATATTTGGGTAAGTAATATTTACGTACATATTTAAAAAAAAAACAAGTAAGAGGTTCTAGTCGGGAGCTCCCGACTAGGGGATACCCTGAACCCTCTTCTTCCAACATCAAATGCATATATATATTCTATTTTAGAAGCTATATGTCAAGTTTGGTGACTAGCTCTTATTATTTACCAAAATTGCCCAAAAAACAGGATATCGATATCGATTTTTATCGATTACTTGGAAACTGAGTAAGTTATCGATTATCGGAAACAAACTCGATCTGCGCGGGAACTAGGAGCATCTACATCTACAATTTCAAGTCTCTAGCTCTTATGGATTCTGAGATCCTTGCGTTCATACATACGGACGGACGGACGGACAGACAGACGGACATGGCTAGATCGACTCAGCTATTTATGCGGATCAAGAATATATATACTTTATGGGGTCGGAGTTGCTTCCTTCTGCCTGTTACATATATTTGGCTTTCGCACAAATACAATATACCCCCATACCCATTTTAATGGGTTCAGAGTATAAAAAGCCAAAATTCGTGAAAATCGGATGAGATTTGACCGAGTTATGGGGGTGGTAATTTTTGACCCATGTCTATATACGAATCTTGGGGTAAGATTTGGACATGAATTTCGACTAAAAAATCGGTGTTCAGATTTGAATGCCATAGTAATCTAGAGGGAAACCATGAAGAAAAAGCCAAACTTCGTGGAAATCGGATGAGATTTGACCAAGTTATGGGGGTGGTAATTTTTGACCCATGTCTATATACAAATCTTGGGTAAGATTTGGACATGAATTTCGCCTAAAAAATCGGTGTCGAGATTTGAATGCCAGATTAATCTAGAGGGAAACCCATGAAGAAAAATCCAAACTTCGTGAAAATCGGATGAGATTTGACCGAGTTATGGGAGTGGTAAATTTTGACTCATATCTATATACGAATCTTGGGGTAAGATTTGGACATGAATTTCGACTAAAAAATCGGTGTTCAGATTTGAATGCCAGATTAATCTAGAGGGAAAACTATGAAGAAAAAGCCAAACTTCGTGAAAATCGGATGAGAATTGACCGAGTTATGGGGGTGGTAAATTTTGACCCATGTCTATATACGAATCTTGGGGTAAGATTTGGACATGAATTTCGACTAAAAATCGGTGTCGAGATTTGAATGCCAGATTAATCTAGAGGGAAAACCATGAAGAAAACGCCAAACTTCGATATCGGATGAGATTTGACCGAGTTATGGGAGTGGTAATTTTTGACCCATGTCTATATACGAGTCTTGGGGTAAGATTTGGACATGAATTTCGACCAAAAAATCGGTGTTCAGATTTGAATGCCAGATTAATCTAGAGGGAAAACCATGAAGAAAAAGCCAAACTTCGTGGAAATCGGATGCGATTTGACCGAGTTATGGGGGTGGTAAATTTTGACCCATGTCTATATACGAATCTTGGGGTAAGATTTGGACATGAATTTCGACTAAAAAATCGGTGTCGAGATTTGAATGCCAGATTAATCTAGAGGGAAAACCATGAAGAAAACGCCAAACTTCGTGGAAATCGGATGAGATTTGACCAAATTATGGGGGTGGTAATTTTTGACCCATGTCTATATACGAATCTTGGGGTAAGATTTGGACATGAATTTCGACTAAAAAATCGGTGTTCAGATTTGAATGCCAGATTAATCTAGAGGGAAAACCATGAAGAAAAAGCCAAACTTCGTGAAAATCGGATGAGATTTGACCAAGTTATGGGGGTGGTAATTTTTGACCCATGTCTATATACGAATCTTGGTGTAAGATTTGGACATGAATTTCGACTAAAAAATCGGTGTTCAGATTTGAATGCCAGATTATTCTAGAGGGAAAACCATGAAGAAAAAGCCAAACTTCGTGGAAATCGGATGATTTATACGAATCTTGGGGTAAGATTTGGACATGAATTTCGACTAAAAAATCGGTGCTCAGATTTGAATGCCAGATTAATCTAGAGGGAAAACCATGAAGAAAAATCCAAACTTCGTGAAAATCGGATGAGATTTGACCAAGTTATGGGAGTGGTAATTTTTGACCCATGTCTATATACGAGTCTTGGGGTAAGATTTGGACATGAATTTCGACCAAAAAATCGGTGTTCAGATTTGAATGCCAGATTAATCTAGAGGGAAAACCATGAAGAAAAAGCCAAACTTCGTGGAAATCGGATGCGATTTGACCGAGTTATGGGGGTGGTAAATTTTGACCCATGTCTATATACGAATCTTGGGGTAAGATTTGGACATGAATTTCGACTAAAAAATCGGTGTCGAGATTTGAATGCCAGATTAATCTAGAGGGAAAACCATGAAGAAAACGCCAAACTTCGTGGAAATCGGATGAGATTTGACCAAATTATGGGGGTGGTAATTTTTGACCCATGTCTATATACGAATCTTGGGGTAAGATTTGGACATGAATTTCGACTAAAAAATCGGTGTTCAGATTTGAATGCCAGATTAATCTAGAGGGAAAACCATGAAGAAAAAGCCAAACTTCGTGAAAATCGGATGAGATTTGACCAAGTTATGGGGGTGGTAATTTTTGACCCATGTCTATATACGAATCTTGGTGTAAGATTTGGACATGAATTTCGACTAAAAAATCGGTGTTCAGATTTGAATGCCAGATTAATCTAGAGGGAAAACCATGAAGAAAAATCCAAACTTCGTGGAAATCGGATGATTTATACGAATCTTGGGGTAAGATTTGGACATGAATTTCGACTAAAAAATCGGTGCTCAGATTTGAATGCCAGATTAATCTAGGGGGAAAACCATGAAGAAAAATCCAAACTTCGTGAAAATCGGATGAGATTTGACCAAGTTATGGGGGTGGTAATTTTTGACCCATGTCTATATACGAATTTGGACATGAATTTCGACTAAAAAATCTATGTTCAGATTTGAATGCCAGATTAATCTAGAGGGAAAACCATGAAGAAAAAGCCAAACTTCGTGAAAATCGGATGAGATTTGACCGAGTTATGGGGGTGGTAATTTTGACCCATGTCTATATACGAATTTGGACATGAATTTCGACTAAAAAATCTATGTTCAGATTTGAATGCCAGATTAATCTAGAGGGAAAACCATGAAGAAAAAGCCAAACTTCGTGAAAATCGGATGAGATTTGACCGAGTTATGGGGGTGGTAAATTTTGACCCATGTCTATATTCGAATCTTGGGGTAAGATTTGGACATGAATTTCGATTAAAAAATCGGTGTTCAGATTTGAATGCCAGATTAATCTAGAGGGAAAACCATGAGGAAAACGCCAAACTTCGTGAAATTCGGATGAAATTTGACCGATTTATGGAGGTGGTAATTTTTGACCCATGTCTATATACGAATCTTGGGGTAAGATTTGGACATGCATTTCGACTAAATAATCGGTGTTCAGATTTGAATGCCAGATTAATCTAGAGGGAAAACCATGAAGAAAAATCCTATATCATATATATATTCTATTTTAGAAGCTATATGTCAAGTTTGGTGACTCTAGCTCTTATTATTTACCAAAATTGCCCAAAAAACAGGATATCGATATCGATTTTTATCGATTGCTTGGAAGCGGAGTAACTTATCGATTATCGGAAACAGACTCGATCTGCGCGGGAACTAGGAGCATCTACATCTAAAATTTCAAGTCTCTAGCTCTTATAGGTTCTGAGATCCTTGCGTTCATACATACGGACGGACGGACGGACGGACGGACAGACAGACGGACATGGCTAGATCGACTCGGCTATTGATGCTGATCTAGAATATATATATCGGAGAAGCTTCCTTCTGCCTGTTACATACATTTGGATTTTGCACAAATACAATATACCCTTGTACCCATTTTTAATGGATTCAGGGTATAATAAAACTTATTTAAAGTTTATAGGCTAATCCAATATTTTTAGCATGTTAAATACTTTATGTGACAAAAATTTCCAAAAATGTGTAAATGAGTGTCTCAAAATCATTTTTAATTTTATAACTCTAATAACTGAGCTGCTTGGCCAAGACCCCCTACATTTTCGGCGCACCCATTCCTCTACTCTGCCCTACCCTCCCTGCCTCCCTGCCGTACACTCTTGCATGCTTGTGACTGTGTCAACATTAACGTTGGCATTCTTGATTTTTTAATTAAAATATAAAAAGACCGCACTGGATGGGAACGTGCCGCGGTCGTTAGGCAATAAACTTGGACAACGCGCATCCTGCAGGACAATTACAAGGCGGAAAATGTCGCAACATTTTCGTCTTATCTGCCGACTTGCCACTTTAAAAGAATAAGGCGCAAACACATAAAAAACGAATTAACACTGGAACGAAACAGGGATGTTTCTCGTCGGGTCGCCCGAGCAGGCACTGCAAAAATGTTGCCCCATTGTAACGCTTATCTTAAGGATGTGAGCGCTCCAGACAAACATATTTCCGCCTAACGAAGAAAAAAAAAAGAGAGAGAAAGTATAGAAAAACCTTTTGCAAAATCGCTGTGGAAATATCTTTATTTTTAATTTTAACGCTTTATTTAATTATGTGAAGCGCCCGCTGAGGACAACAACTAGACAACTTCAAGTTCAAGAGTTTGCTGCTAATAAAATGCTTAAGATGTGCTGCGCTGCTGTGTCCTGTCTGGCAATAAAACCCACAAAAAATGGGCTAAAAATTGCATTTTTTTTTTTGCTGCCCACGTTATTGTGCCACTTTCTCGGCGTACTTTTTTTTTTTTTAATAAAGACATCAACAGATGGGCGGCGATAAAATGCCAAAGATTATGGACAAAAGGCAAAGGACAAGCCTGCACAAAGGGCAGCCAAGCGGCGTGTGGTTTTTGACACTACCCCCAACCCCACACCCCCCCCCCCTCACAACAACAAAAAAAAACGCCAGGCAGTGTCCTTTTTTTTATCCTTGCTGCGATAAGCTTCGGTCTGCCACTTTCCATTCACATGCAAAGTAGCTTGTAAGACTTCGCCCAACACTTGAACTGGGCAGCTTTGATTTAGTTGACCCGCGCCCTACTGCTCCGCCTCAGATCTGCTTATCACCTATTTTTATGACCCTCTAGATATGGCTGCTGTTCACAGACTGTTTTCTAATGGCCGAACTTTTAATTAGCTGGACGGTGCGCAGGCATTGCTCTCTGCCCATTTGCTCCACCTGCTTGGGCCAAACAGCAGTTATTCAGCATATCGCTTTCAATTGCTTTTCAATTGCTGTCAACAAATTGCAACAACAATAAAAATCAAATACAACGCGATAAAAATCACAAATCGAAACGTTTTCCCAAAGGCGCCTTTTTCCACCTTGTTGACAGCCCAAGCAATTGGGGTGGCACTTTGTCAATTCGCCCGAATGCTGAACTATGAAATACGCTGTACTATCTATGAAAATTTTTATATATATATAATGTTAATTTAGAGCAGAGCTTAAAGCATATATAAATATTACTTTTGCTTTGGTTACTTGAGAATCTTTCGCTGGTTAACTTTTTTTTTTGTCATAAGAAACCTGACTCAATATATATTTATATTCTTATACAGCATCAACAACTAATGCAGGGTATCTGCTTGTTGGTAGAGCACTTAAATATTAAATAAATAAATAAAATAAAAGTCTATAAAATTAGCTATTCAAATTAATACTTGCATAAACATATACACGTTTATAAACTTTTGTTAGATTTGATATAAATATTATTTTTATCGTTACCATCTTTTCGCAAATATTTCTCATACAACTCCTTATGATATGGTTGGCTACAGGGTATATGAACCGTAGCCTACTTATTGGCGTTGCGCTATCTGTCACCTGTTGTGCCTGCCCTGCTTGACTTTATGCTGGCCTAATGTAAATCCTTAAAATCAATATGCAAGTGACAAGCAGCTGAGGCCTGAGGATAAACAACACACCCAGCCCCAAGGGGGGACAGCATGTCAGGTGACAGGGGCGAGGGCCGGGTCTGACAATAGAGGGGCATTTTAAATTGGAATGGGTAGCTGAGAGTTGATACTGAGACGGTATGCCAGAGAGATTTTTGCTTGAAGCAACAGACAGACTGGCAAATTGAAATGACTTAGATTACGTTGAAATTGTCGCTGAATATTTTGTAAGCAGCAGATAATTTTCCAACTAAAGACCCAGCCGCATTAACAGAGCTTAAACTTAAAAAATTGTGGTAAATCTTTAAAAGTTGACAAATACAACTATTTATGGTAGAATAAATAAAATAATATCAAATGAGTCGTGCATTAAAGATAGCAGATAAATAGGGAAGAACCTCTCTCTAATAATCTTCGAAGTTAACAGAAGCTGACAGAAAAAATTACGGATGACCTATGCATTTAATAAAAACATATTTTAAAATAAAAAATAAATTAAAAGGCGTAAAAACCTAAAAACTCTTTTTCCGGATATCTTTTATTATTATTATACATTATACAAGTATTTTATACAAAGGCATATAAGTATTATGTATGTGTGTCTGTGTGTTTGTGTGTGTGAGTTCGTATATGCGTGCAATTAAGTATGCATTTATGTATATATGTATGCATGCATGTTTGTTTTCTAATATCAAAAGCAGACGAAGCTCATTTTTCGCTGCGCTGCAAATTTAAATAAAACGAACTTCTACCAAGTGCTCTACTCCTCGATTCTCAAGAATTCAAGTAGGCTCTGCAGTCTTTCATGCTAAGCTAGTAGTGTAGTTTTTATTTTGTATTTTTTTTTATTTAGTTTTTTTTTTGGTTTTTTTTTTTTATTTAGTTTTTTTTTATTGTTATTATTTTGTTGTTTTTTTTTGGCTTTGTTTGTTTTTTATTTTTGTTGTTTGTATATTTATATGTCCGTGCTTATGTATGTACTTATGTACGCTTGCATGTTTGTACATGTGTGTCAATGTATGCATGTATATATGTTTGTGTGTATGCATGTATGTATGTATGTATATACAAATATATGTATTTATGTATGTGTGTGTGCATGTATGTAGGTATCTGAACATGTTTGCATACTTGTACGCATGCATGCATGTATGCATACTTGTACGCATGCATGCATGTATGCATACTTGTACGCATGCATGCATGTATGCATACTTGTACGCATGCATGCATGTTTGCATATACATATACAAAACAAACATGCGTAAATGTATGTACAAACAGGCTTACATAATTGCATTTCTATAGATCTTTGAAATCGTTCTTCCTTTATGTTCGAGGGTTCGATTCAAAGGATGATTTCTCATATATTTCCTTAATTTAATGCTTTAATGCAACAATTCGATTTGCTATTTATAATTGCCCGTTCTACTGAAAATATTTCAAGCCATAGATATTTTCATAAAGAATTTGCGGGCTAAATTCGTTTTCTAATCAAATCGTGTTTTGAAAAAGTATGGTTCAGCTCGGGCTTTCTGCATTTGCTTTGCTTGGTTGACCTCAAAACCAAAGTGCAGTTTCTATTTTTGTTATTTTTATAACCATCAACTAATTTAAGATCTTTAAACATAAGCAAAGCTATAGTCAACGTATAAAATCAACATTTTAATAGGAAATTGTGCAAATTTTTTATTATTTGCCTAAATGCTCGTAAATTTATTAGAGCTTAGCTTGGCTCGCTTAAAACGTTCCATAATAAGCCCAAGGCTCACATGTGTGAACAGCCAATTTTCTTTGATTAAAGGGATTTGCTGAACAGCCAAAAAAAAAAAAAAGATAATAAAATGTGGTGGGCTGGGTGAAAGTCAAATGATAAAATAAAGAGCAATGCAAAAGTAGCTTATTACAAGCTGCCGCGAAGAGGGTGCAAAAAGTAGACAAAGGCGGCGACAAGGACAAGCATGATTTTCTTTTTTATATTTTTTTTTTCTTTTTGTTTTGGGGTAAAAAGTGTTGTTGTGTGAGCTGTAATATTTTTATGCTTATGACTTGATGGCGCCCCCTTTTTGTGTGTTAATAATCTTGAGGCGAATGCGGCCATAAACGTTTTTTGTGATAATTACATTAAGATTGAGCTTAGTTATTTTTATGGTTTTCGGTCTTTGTGGGCTGACCACAAATACGCTTAGCATTACTTGCTTTACTCGTTTGAAAATTCAATTGCCAGAACTTGTGGAACAATTAAAAAAAGAAATGGCACAACTGGTGAGTGGGAATGTCGCTTGAGTTGGATAACTTGCGCTGCATATTAAACAGTTTTTTGAAAATCAGAGACAAATCAGAGCACGTAACGGTTAACTTCTCTTTTTGCAGCACATTTTTAAATGGCAACAGCGAGTGAGGCACGTGCATTAAACAGCCCAAAGGGCTCAAACAACAACAACAACAAGAACATGTGTGGAGTAATTTACAAAACTCGTCGACAGTCGCCAGTTGAGTTCGACGCGTTTGTCTGCCCGGGAGCCGCGCAATTAGGCAATTGACCGTGTATGTGCCAGCGTATGTGTGTGTGTGTGTGTGTGTGTGTGTAATTGACAAAAAATGACATGCAATTGTGGAGAACAGTCGCCCATGCGGCAAAAATAAACCAAAAATTGATTTTCATGTAATGAGTTCAAAAGGGCTGCGTCTGACTGTCCTGTAGTGTAACTCACCTCCTTTTTTCGGTCGTTTTTTTTTTGCAGCATGCTGGCTGCATATTAAAATGTGCGTGATGCCATGTGACGAACGCTGAAGTTTTTTTTTTTTTTATTATTATTGTTGCCGACTATAAGGGCTGTCAATTTTTATGAAGTTAAAATTCCCCGCATGTGGGGGAGGCAGATTGCTGGGCATTGTATGAAAAAAGGTGTTGCATGTAATGAAGCGCATAATTTTAATTGGCTTTTGGTTGAATTTGATGTGCTGCAGGTAAATTGTAATAAGTTCAATACATAAAAACACCATAATCGCTTATATCCTGCGATAGCTTAGGCGCACTAGCAACACTACCAATTGAATGATCCTTTTTTTTAAGCCGCCAAATTAATAAGCCAAATAGATCGAAAATAAACTTTTGAAATAAAGTTTGATTTATTTGAATTGCTTTTTGCGTTAAATAAAATCATGCTTTACTTAACTAGTGTCAGCACATCATAAGAAATATCGTATGTTCATAAATCTATCGAGGTATCGATTAGAGTAATTTCAAAATCAGCATACCCAATTGCAATAGTAGAATTTTTAAATATTCAAATAATCCAAACCAAATACTACGGCCAACTACACTCTGGAAATAAGTTGCGAAATAATCGATAGGTAGCAGCAGAAATAAACGATTTCGCGCTGTTAATAACATTACAGCAAATGTTAACGAGTTTTTGGGTGCCCACAGCTGCATGTGTGTGTCAAGAAGTAGAGAGCAGCAAAAAAGAAACAACTTTATTTTCTGATGCGTTGTGCAAACGCCAGGTTCAGTGAGTGTGCAAATCGCGAAGAAAAATAATGTCGAAACGGCGAGCAACAAGCAGCAACGATGGCGCCAGCAACAATGCGGAGCAAAATGCAACCAACGCCAACAACACCATCATCAATCTAGACGACAGCGACGATGAGGACGACGATGCGCAATTTGTGGCCACTGTGCGTCCAAGCATAGCAACAATCGATCTTTGCGTGTCACCATCCACCTCGGCAGCAGCGGCTGCGGCTGCTGCTGCTGGTGCTGCTGCAAAATCGGCTCCTGCAGGTGAACCACTCAAAACTGTCAGCTCCGATGCGGGTAACACACAATACGAAAAATGCAAACAATTAAAGTTAATTTTGCAATGTAAACTTTATTTTGCAGGCGCCGCATTGGCTGCTTGTAGTGTAACATCTGGCGCCGACGCAGCCGCTCCCACCGCCACCTTGGAGTGCCCCATCTGTCTGCAAACCTGCATTCATCCCGCACGCCTGCCGTGCGGTCACATCTTTTGCTTCTTGTGCGTCAAGGTATGTAGCGCCCCCTCTACCCACAGCCCCCGCCAAGCCGGAAACATTTGCGTATGCAAGTCACATTCCATCGAAATTTTTGGTCAAAGCTCTCGAAACGCGTGCGCCCAACACAACGCACGCACGCACGCAGCAAGTTCAAGGCTGCGCCGCTGTTAACCCTTGTGTCTGCCCAAATATCGTTGGGCGCGCGCTAGCTTGAATAATTTAATTTAATTGCCTTCCGCATAGCAATATCGAATTGATTGAAAGTCGTTGGCCTTATCGGCTGCTGTAGGCGGCATATCCAGTATGTGTTGCGCATACATCAGAATGTAACCAGGTTTCTGAGCTTAAATTATTCAAGCTAGGATAACTTCTTAATTTGATAAGCGTATCTGACATCAAAAGAGAAAGGTATATAAAAAACAAATATTTCATTAAATGTAGATTATGTGGGCATTTCCTGTCAGTAGACAAACAGCATCATAATTTTTTATTAAAGTTAATATCATTTAACTTTTATACTTAATAAAGCCTTATGCAAATTAATACGAATTTTTAAAAAATGATGCATACTTTCGAGAGCTAAATCAAGAAATAAAGCTATTATCTAAAATTTACTTAATATTTACAATTTTGTTTATCCTATTAATCTGTTGTTTCCATTTTAGGGTGTTGCCTACAAAAATCGTCGTTGCGCCATGTGCCGCCGTGAGATTCCCGCCGAATTTCTGGATCATCCGCAACTGGTAAATGGCATCGATGATATTTGTGCCACACGCGCCACCGAGGATGGCTATCAATGGTATTACGAGGGTCGCAATGGTAAGTGCATATTACAATTTTTTCGGTGGTGGTGTCTGTAGCCGCACCCCCATGTAACCCATGCCCATGGCCATAAACCAAATCAAAACAAAACCCCTACACAAACCCTAGGCGGCTGGTGGGCCTACGATGCGCGCACCAACGAAGACATTGAGATGTCCTACCAGGCGTACCAGGCATACAAAATCAATGTAGCCACAGTGCCCGCAACAAAAGCTCCTCCGCCTGCAGTCCCCGCAGCTGCTCCAGTGCCCGAACGCAGACGTCATACGAACTGGAGCGGAGGTTTTGATGCTGACGGGGAGCTGGACGAGTTCTTTGATGATGATTTCGAAGGATTTGTCAATGATGTTGAGGATTGCTCCACAGACAGCAGCTCCGACTATGATATGCAGTACGGAAGTAGTCCCGACGAACCCAGTCGATTAAAGCAGCTCATCTGCGGCCAGTTGTATATCATAGACATGATCTGTATGACGCAAACGTTGCGCTCGGAGCCCACCAGAAAGCGCAATATAATGCGACGGAAGATATCTGAGCCGGCTCCAGGTGTTAAGGGCGTGGCCGGACTGAAACACAACTAATCACAGTACTCTTATTAACCCAACCATCCATTCCTCACATTATCCCAGTCTCCAATGCAATCCATCATAATCATGCTCACAAAAATGAAATCCGTAAATGTGATCAAGCCACAAGCGAATCCCCATTTAAACTACTTACTGCACAGGTTGGTGGCAATACGACGATCGCACCAGCCAGGACATTGAGGAGGCCTTCAAGAAGGGCGACAAATCCTGCAGCATACTCGTCGCTGGCTACGTGTACATTGTGGATCTGGAGCAGCTGGTGCAGCAGCGTCAAAACGAACCGTCGCGCTGTCGTCGCGTCAAGCGTGATCTGGCCACCATACCGAAAAAGGGCGTGGCTGGACTGCGCATCGAGGGCAACCAGGTGACCAGCGACACGGTGTTCAGTCGTCCCAGCAATCCAACGCCAACGGCCGCCGCCACGGGTGGTCCAGCCACATTTATATCGACTATTGCGGCACGCGATGCGGCCATTCGTATTGCCAGCGACATAATTGGCTCCACGTTGGCGCATGCGGACGAGCTGACCCGTGGCCTGGCCGCCAGCAACATCAGTGACAGCGCCAATGATCTGAGCGGTGAGCAAACCTACTCCAATCCACAAACATCCAACACAACAGGTACAGAACCGCAGACGCAGGGTACTAGTACGGGTCTGGGTACTGTTGCTGCTGCCCGTTCGCTTGCCTCCTCGCACTCGAATTCCATACAGGATCTCATGCTCAGCGCCACAGAGGATTTGCTGGACACCACACAACAGGTCATTGAGACCAATCAACATACCATAGATCTCTTCGAGCAGGCCTTGAACGATTTTCAGGCGCTCACCCTGCGCAACTTTGTCGACTCCAGTGATGAAGATGAGAATGGCGAGAATGATGATCATGATCATGATCATGATCATGATCATGATATTAACAATGGTGGCGCGGTGGCTGAGCAATTTGAGGCGAGCGAATCACATGATGAACACAATGTGGGCCATTAGGTTTCCTATTCTAATCCCAATTCCCCCAACATAACACATGTACCGTTTAGCTTAGACTAAAAGCTAAAAGCTCGAAACGCGAACGAAGTTCCTTTAGAAATGTCAACATTTCAGAATGTTAACTAGAGAAATGCGAAGGCGCGTACCTGAGATCGTCAATATAGGGCTCTATGCGTGAGCAAAATTAAGAAGAATAACGAAAGAGTGTAAAAGGAGGAAAGGCCTGCAGGGTAACAACCTACACATAGTGCATATACGAAATTCCTTATCAATCTGAACCTGAGCAACTATTAACTGTACATACCATACTTCTAATCGAGCTATTGTTAGGCAAGATGTGATTCGGAAGCCGTAATACCAACGGGGTCTATAAAACCAAAGCTTCTAGAAAATCCCCAAATGTTAAAAGAACTAGTTCCCCAAACTGGCAAAAGCAAAAAAACATTTTCGTAGAGAATCTTAAGTTTTCTTTAAAGACAGATATCATTTATTATTTGGGTTTGTTGTAAAAACATAAACTTAAATCTGTAGGATTTTTGTCAAAATGCTACTCAATCTCATAGGGGGGAATATTCAATAAGAATTTATCCTCTCTGAACACAGTATATAGTATATATGTATTTATATGTATATAAATACTCAAATTTAAACGAAAACATTCTATAAAATCCCCCGCAACCGAGCCAATTAAGCAACCACCAAGAAAGCGTAGTGTGAGATGGACAATACATATATTCGATTGGGTTTTAGATGGGCGACTACCTGTACAGAGATAAATGGACAAATTGAGAAGATACTCTCTCAACTCATACTCAATTCGGTTAATGTCTGATCTGGGTGACTTCACAAGCTGAGACACCTTGATGAATCCTTCAGTTATCAAAGTTAGATGTTGCCCCCGTGTTTATATTAATATAAGTCGCCGTTAAGTGCGTTAAAGCAAAACATTTCTGTGAACAGTTTAATTATAATTATAAAATAAGTTATTATAAGCATTACGTTCAGTCGCAATTGAGTTCATACACGATCGTTAGCTGTATTTGTTATTTTTTTTTTTTCATTTAATGGTCCTTTTATGCAGCTCAATTGTGCCTGATCGGAATGCACTTTATAAATGCCTATATTAATATATATGTATGTATATTTTGTGACTACTGTTTTATAGATTCGATTTGTACCCCGCCATTACTTCTAACTGTGAAATGCCTATTCGTAGCTACCCTTATATCAACGGTATTCCTAAAGCTCTACTGAGTTCATGCGTAAGAGCTCCCCATTCCTTCCGGTAATATACAACAAACAAACAAAATCCAAACATATTACATGTTTCTCATCAAAGAGCTTATTCGTCATCATATTAATAAAACTTGATAAGAAAACTAAGTTAAGCTCATTTTGAATGCCTTTCTTATCAGAGTAAAGTCGATCTCTATCTCTCTACCTAACTATCTTTTCCTTACTTTTGACTGCCTCGCGTTGCGTTGTAATTTCAATCCTCTGATAACCTTAAGAACTTTATGAGACTTTATCAATTAAATTTATTTCATATTATGCTAATGGTGGCAGATAGATCATGTACTTATCGAAATCTATATATACAATTTTGCTTAAACAGATTAAAGCATCAGCAAATTTATACAAAACTGTGCCAAGCGCAAACACTAACAGATATGCATTCTGTAAAGTCAAGAATTTGGTGCTGTTAATCATTAACACTAACAGCAAAGTTAATTCAACATTAACAGCACGTCACATTTTTCAGTTCAGTAACTCATTAATTTTGATCATTTACATATCTCATTGATATTTAAATCTGAATTCAAATTCATAATGCCCCATTTATGGCGCATGTTATTAGATATATGTAGCTATACCTAGACTTTGAGAAAGAAGATGCTCTATGTAAGACATGTTGATTTATTATATATAAGATTCTTGAATATTACTGTATTTAGGTTGCCAATAAACATTCTCATTCAACAAAAGTCAAGTACTTCAAAACTAGTTAACTATATTGAAACGAGTTTCTTAACTGAATATATGTTATTAAATATCTAATACATATGTTATAAGCCCAGCATCTGAAGAACTAATCGTTCCCTTGGCTACCTGTACTCGACTTCAAATGAAATCCTTTTTTTTATGGTTTTCTTTGTTTGCGAATGGTGCGGGAACCTGACATCGGCATTGGACCCTGGCCGTCTACAAATGCTTGGCTATTGAGTCATGCGCAATGGACCAAAGGAAAACGCACGCATGCAGCATATTAATTTAGTGGACCTCCTGTCGCTGATGTTGTCGTTGTTGTTGTTGTTGTTAGTGAACAAACAAGAAAACGGGCCACAAGCAACAGGCTTAAAAAAGGGGGCAACACAGCTCTAACAATGTAAGAGTGAAAGAGCGGAGCAGTGCGAAAGAGATGGAACAACTGAACAGCGATCGTCGTGGCTGTCACATAAATATGTTCGGATTCGGGTCTTGGAGAGTTCTTTGGGTGTTGAGTCTGCATGAGTCATCGTTGTTTACATAGAAATTATGCTACCTGCTGCAATTTTTGTCTGTTCTTTTACAAAAACAAATATCACGAAATAGGTAAACGTCAACAGCTCTTGTATAACAACTTGTTGCCGCCTCTTATCAGCCAGACAAAGTCGAATACTGCAAGTTTGCGCGCATCAAACTGAGGCAGCTGATTCTAATCTTGCGAGCTAATTGAGAAGTGTCGCTAAATAAAATTTACATTTAGTTATAGCTCTTCAATAGAGAGATAATCAAATTAAACAAAAAAATGCAGAGTATTTAAATATACGCAAATGATTACAGAAATAGGAATTTAACATGCTTTTATGATGTTCAGGTATATGTTAATATTGCAACTTAACAGTGAAACATTTAACTATGAAAAGTATTCGATTCAGATAAATTCTTTGTTTATTAATTTTGAATTCCTTTTATATTGAATTAAGATTAGAAAGTCAAATTATTCTATACATTTGTTGATCTGAGTCTGAAAGGGTCAAAGAATTTAAATTTTGTGTTTAATAACTGTAATGCAAGGATGACGAAAGCTAGCGCTTGAAGCTTTTGTAACAGCTATTAAAAGAGCTTTAACAGTGCTTCGTGATCTTGTATGCTTCGGCTTTAACTTTGGTCAGAAACTTGAGCATAAAGCAACAACAGCAACAGCAACAGCGGCTTGCAAGTGTTGGTGGTTGTTGCCGCCGACGCTCACTGGCCATGGCATGGCTCTCAGTTGCGCTCGCTCTCCCTCTCTCTCTCTCTCTCTCTCTCTCAGACAGTTGGGCAGGCACATGCGCAGTTCAACCTGCGCTCCAAACTGGTTTTGAGGGAGGAAATTGGCCCGCTTGAGCAGCTTATGGCTGTTGGTACATACCAACTTCTGCTTCTCTCGGCCAGGCAGGCTGAGCGTGCGCCAGTTTTTTTTTTGTTAGTTGATTTGTATCTACCTTTGGTGCGGACGGTCGGAACGTTATCTAAAGCGCAACCAAAGGCCAACCAGTCTTTGTACTTGTACAATTTGTGTTAAAAATTACTGAAAATTGTCACAAAATAACCAAAAAATGTGAGTGAATACAATTGAAATTAAATCCAAATGCAAAACTTATTGAATAATGTGCAAAACTGCAGTGGAAAGTGCAAATAAAAATTTATTGATTTTCTTCAACCGAAGCAACGTACGGAGAAGAAGCAGCAGCAACAGCACAAAAGTATAAGCTGCGCTGTAAGGTTTCCAATCGAGTGTGAGAGACCGTGCGTGCGTGTATGTGTGTGTATGCATATATGTGTGTGCGTTGCGTTGGTGTGTGTAGCAAAATTTCGTTGTAGCTGCTTATTGTTGTTATGTTCTAGCCAAGTCAAAAGCACGGCACCAAAAAAAAAAGCAAAAAGCAAAAGGCGAAGCAGAAGAAGTGGAATACAAATATACATACATAGCACATGGATTTATGTGCGCGTGTGTGTGTGTTTGTTCTTTTGTGCAATTTGCCATTTAAAGGCATACAAAATAGCAGCGCTGCATTTGAAAGTGAAATGTGAATAACTGTTCTTTTTTTTTTTATGTTAAATACATTGTATTTTTGTGAATAATTGTGTGACAAGTGTCTGCACTTGAAATTTGTTTGTTAGGCACCGCTTCGTCTTCTTCTTATATTTTATCACGCGCTTCCGCGGTGGCTTAAAGCTTTACTCTCACTCCCCGCCTCTCTATCTATCTTTCTCTCTGCTTGCGTTGACGTTTGCGTGGGTCGGTCGTCGACGCCGTCCCCAACCTCTGTTGTAATATTTGCCGTTTTTTTGCTTTTTGATTTAACTGCTGAGTTTGTCGTGAGGGGGCTGACGCCAATGCCGCTGAATATGCCTGCATCCCCCCCATAGTGCACCAACACACACACACACACACACACACACACATATGTATATGCGCGCATCCTGTGAGTGGGCGTTTGACGTCGTTCGGCTGAGTTATTGATTTTGTGTTGTTTCATTGATAAAATTACTTACAAGTGTGCGTGTGTCCAAGCTGTACTTTTTGCACTTAGTGATTTACCTTTAACTTCGTGCTCCCGTTGCCTTCACAGCCTACCTAACCAGCATGTCGTAGGACAATAAGAACTGTAACTCAAAACAGAAATTAACGGACAATGCAGCCATTTAGCGACAGTTTAAGCAAAAGTCGTGATGATTTGGTCAATGTCGCCGCCTCCAGGCAGCAGCAGAGGCAGCTACAACAACTGCACTACAGCAGACGGAGACATCATGGAAGCAGTCCGAACTTATCGTTGGATCAAACCGATAATTTGCGCAGAAGGTAGGTTATTAAACATGTTAAATTGCCTTTAGAAATTAACAAAATAGTTATTGACCAAGGTCATGTCCGCTCGGGATATTTTGTTAGTAATTAGACGTATCAATTTTGTTTGCTTACAATGAAATATAGAGCCTGCACAACAAAAATATGTACCATTGGACCTGCACACATATATACACCTGTATTATATCGATACAAATTAAACACGTGAAAATGTGTGTTGCATTGAAATGATAAACAAAAACAAACATAGAAAGGCCTAAACGGGCCAATTAGAAGCTTCCTTATTATATACCATACGTATGTACGTATGTATGTATGTATGTATATACATATATATATATACCCTGGCTCCCAGTAGCGAAGTCACACACACCTGCGTCAGAAACTGGTTTCAAAGCTTCGTTGGACCAGCCGCATGCTACCCAATGCAAGCACTTCCCAAAGTTGGTCACTCTAACAATAATAAAACTTGATAACAATGAACGTGCAAAAGAGAGAGAGAGAGGGAGAGCAAGCGAGAAAGAGAGTGCAAAGCTGTGCTGATAATGTGAGCGCTCGTTTGGTCGCATGCTCCAGCGCTCACGCTCGCAATTTAGTACGCGAAAATCAATCGTTTCAGATGGTTGTCGCGGCAAGACAGCGTGTCAATCAAACTGTGAGCCTGCCTTAATGTGTTTATTGTGTGTGTGTGTGTGAGCAAGCGTGCGTGTGTGTGTGTGCAGACAACAATAACAATAACGCTGCTTATCGCCAAATCAGTTGCCAACTTGTGCATGTGTGCAGAAGTGGCGCAGTTTTTGTTAAATTTGTGCAAAAATCATGAAATTAAGTATTACATGCACGAACAAAACGAAAGTGTTACGCAGACAGTTCTTCTTGGTCTTGTAATTGACGCAGCAACAACAATATCAGCAAAACCATTTACCTTGACGTCATTTTTTTTTTGAGACGACAAAAACGCCAAAAACGTATTTGTTGCTGTTGTTGCTTGCTTTGGTTTGGTGGCTGGCCGTGCTTGGCACGAAGCAAACGAACGGTTTTAATCAAAACTTGTTGTTGTTGTTGTTGTTATTATTCTCGCTGAGGTTTATACAGTGCGTAAAAAACGTCTGGCGGCGACCGCTAAAAGAGCGAGTGTAAAAATTTGCATTAATGCAGCACCGCGATGTCGCATTAATGAATGAGTTTGTAAACAACAACACCAGCAACAACAGGCAAAAGTACGGTGGCAAGAAAACTAATTGCAAAAACAAACACAATTAACCGTGAAAATAAGCGCGAAAGAAGCAAGCAGAAAAACATCGCAATGGTTTATTACATACCAATGTTCGGACGTACTGACCCGCCGGATAAAATAATAACTAAGGAGAAAAGGTAAACATAGGCACGGTGAAAGGGATAACGATTAGTGATCACA